TTCCATGCCCTCAACATCTGACAACTGAGGAATCATTTACATAATTCCTTTCATCAGGCACACTTTCTGCACTGACATACAACTGCCCAAGCATGAAAACACATCAAACCAATCAGAACAAAGCAAACCAAACCAAATCCCCAAACCTACTGGAGCATGGTCTGCTCCCACCACTTTACTATCAACAGTCAGCGTGCAGAGAAATGTTTAATTTATCAACTTCTCACCGTGTCTGCCTAGTGAGTTTCTGATGAGCAAACAGCTATGTAATGAGACCTCCCATTGTACTTCGGTTGTAAGTACACACAATGTGAAAAGGGAAGAAATCTAGTTTTTAAAGGTCTGCTGTAAAGAGGGGTCATCATAATTATGGTTAAGAGAAAAAGCCACATCTATCAACATAGAAAACAAAGTTTATTAAATGGATCAAATAAATGGTTGTCCATCTGCCAGAAAGATATGTGTTCAATATAAATGCTTTTCAACAAAATATATAAAAATACTTGAAGCCATCAATAAAAGTGACGCAGAGAAGTTTCAGCATCCTTAATACAGTAATGCTGTATTAATCAGACAGGACCCTAGTGAGAGAGATGACCATGAACAGCACAGAATAGCAATAACTCCTAGCAGGTCTCCAGAGACTCATCCACACAAGCGCTGAAGATACCCAAGTCTTCTCAAAATTCAAGCAGCATTATCCAGTGTGGCCATGTCTGAACAAGTCAGTCTGGCCTGATGGTGCAGGCCTTTATTCCCAGCACTCAGAGGCTAGGGTATGTGGATCTCTGAGTTCAAGGCAGGCTTGTTATACAAAGAGTTTCAGAACAACCAGGGCTATTTAGACAAAGCAGTTCAAAGAACAATCAATAAAAAACCAAAGAAACCAAACAAACAAACAAAAAAGTCTTCAAATCTAGTAAATATCAATGTTTAAAAGGTGTCTTTTCACGAGGCAGTAGTGCCTTTCATCACAGTACACAGGAGGCAAACATAGGTTTCTGTCAGTTCAAGGCTAGCCTGGTATATAGAGAAACCCCATTTTAAAAAACAAAAACAAAAAAACAAAAAACAAAAACCACAAGAAAACACTACCAAAAAAAAAAAAGTGAAATCCCCAAGAGTATATGTGAATTCATTGTCAAGTACAGAGAAAAACCACAAAAGAAACTCAAAGTATTTGCTCGAAGGCAACACAGAGACACCCTGTCTTGAAAAACCAAAAAGAAGCAAAAACACAGTGTCTTCTTCAAGAACCTGCAATGCTGACAACAGTAGACAGAAAACAGAAGAATACATGCAAGACATGTAAACATTGACTCACTGATGGCATGCTCTCGCTCAAACGTGAAGAAACATAAGATTGTAAGATCTAAATAACAAAAGGATACATGTATTTAATATAATTAGAGAAAATTCTTAAAATTCAGAAAATTGTGCAGTAACGAGGAGCTCAAAAATTATAAGGATCAAACACAAAGGTGATCTCAAAATATATTAACAATGACAGATGTCATAAAGACAGAAGACTTGAGATATCAATGGGAAGACAATGTAGATGGAAATTAATACTCTACATAGTTACTAAACAAAACTTATCAAAGTCCTGCTGGCATTATTTTAAGAAATGGAGAGATTTACCTTAAATTTAGAGTACCTCCAGGTAAATGCTTCAAAATTCTAAGAGCAGGAAAAATCAAAAGGCATTAATTATTGGAACAAAACAATGCACAAAAAGTATGAGAATGCAATGATGTTTTTTGTTTTTTTCCCGAGACGGTTTCTCTGTGTATCTTTGGAGCCTGTCTTGGAACTATCTCTTGTAGACAAGGCTGGTATGCACTCAGAGAAATCCACCTGTCTCTGCCTCCTGAGTGCTCTAAACCTAAACAGAGAAACCCTGTCTGGAAAAAAAAAATCTTCTCATTGTTATACTTCTAAACTATAAATGAGCATATGTATATTGTCTCTTGTTCATAGATTATGTCATTAAAGCATCATAGTTACACATTTCTATGGATGGACTTATACATAAAATTTAACTGAAGATAATTCCCTTTATTGTGTTTTTTTTCATATGAGTATTCTAGCATTTCTTGAATATTAGTATTGGGTAGAGACTTTTAAAACAGGAATAAAAATTCCATCCATTTTGGGGGGGATTGTAAAACAGGGTGATAAGTTATAGCATGACACAAGGACCCCCACGATGGCCTGTAGTGTATGTCCATGGATAGCATTTTTCTAAAGGTCATTGGAGTTTTGCAGTATCATGCGTTCAGACTTTAATGAACACAGTCCAGTTTGAATGATGTGACTGGGACATCTTCTGTACATGTTTCTCTTATTGGTTGATGAGTGAAACACTGTGGCCAATAGGGCAGCAAGATAGGCAGGTCTAGGAGACAAGGAGGATTCTGGGAAGATTAGGCTGAGAGGAGTGATCCCAGGAAAGTGAGGATGAATGTGAGGTAAGACATGAATATGTAGAAATACTTCGATTAATAAAAATGGGTAAATAATTAAGGCAGAGCAAGCCAATAAGAAGCCCTAGTCCTCAGCCAACATCTTTATAATTAGTATGTCTTTTCTGTTTTCATTTGGGGATGACACAGCAGTGAGACCAGGCTGCCAGGAAGAATGCCAAACACAATGATATCTGTCACTGAGAGTTATATAGCTCTATTTTCTTCTGTCCTTTTGTAGACTTTTCTCTCACTCCTTTAATGCAAGGAAGACATCAGCTTTCTCCCTGAGATTTCAAAACACCTACATTCTATATGTGGGGAAACTTGAAAACTTAACCAGGTACTGCCATGAATGTCAGCATGAAGCATTTGTGTACAATCTTCCCCTTTTTGTAGATGCAAATGCCTTTTCTCTAACATACTGGCTCTAACTTTCCTAAAACTGAAAGATTTTAGTACAATTCCAAGCACTCTCATATGGGCAGAGCCGCATAGAGACAACAGGCATGATATCACTGTTCCTAAAACCATTGAAAATGGCAACCCCTGTTAAAAGGTCTTTTAATCCCAAAGGACTCACAATCCACAGTTGAGAACTGTGACTCTATTATCAAGTGCCTGTTTACAGTAAATTTGGAGGAAAAATTAATGGATTCAGCACATATCTAATGAGACACATTTCTTGGAGAGATAAAAAGTGCACATGCATCTCCTCACTCCAAATGGAATCAGAAAGCAGTATCAAATCCAAGTTTTTCAATCAATGAGCTTTATTGGAATTGAGTACAGGAATATCGAGAAGCAGTTGCTTTCCAGAGCATAAGGGAATCAAACACAGTTGCTATCATGAAATTCAAAATCAGCATGTGACATGGCTTATGAACAATGCACACCTGGAGCACACTACACACATGTAGGCATATCTACAAGCTAAAGAGCATGCAATTTTCATGGCTAAAATCCTCTTCTCTGGTTAAAACTTGTCTTAGTTTCTTCATTAAAGGACACTGAATCCTTTCAGTTTCAGGGATCTCTTGAAAATGGTAAGAGTGTTATTTCCTGCCTTAATCAGCTTCCCTTCAGAATGGATCATACCAATATCCAGGAAAATATTACACAACAGCATACACTTCAGGTTTCTCTACTTTGTCTTCCTTATGAAGAACTTGAGGTTGAACAACTAAAAACTTCTAATGAAAACTGTCCTCCCATTTTTATATAGTCATTTTTTCAGTCTACACAAATCTTGGTGTTTTCTAAGATTTGAAGATAACTTAAGTCTTTCACAAGGTTTTTTTTTTTTTTTTTTTTTTTTTTTTTTTTTTTTTTTTTTTTTTTTTTTTTGTTCACACTCATTCTCTGGTGTGGAGTCTCCAGTATAGCTAGTAACAGAGCTGGTTAAAGCACATGCCAAATTTTTCCCTTGGGAACTTATCTGCTGGTAAAGAATTTTCAGGTGTTTTCGTACATTTGAGAGACAGGTAAAGATGTTTCTTTTGTTACATTTGTAACTTTTCTCTTCCATATGAAATGCTCGGTGTGATTTTGAAGATAAAAGGTTTCTCATAGTGACTATGGTGGTTTGAATAGACATAACCCCCATGCACTCATGTTTGAATTCTTCGCCCACCGGGAGTGGGGAGGTAGGAGAGGTGGACACCACGCACACAGAAACGGATGTCTCATATATGCTCAATCCATACCTAGGACACAGCTCACATTCTGCTTCCTCATGATCACGATGTAGGACTCTCAGCTCCTTCTCTAGCTCATGTCTGTCTGCACGTCACTATGTCACTATGTTCCCCTGAATGAAGATAATGCACTAAATTTCTGAAACTGTAAACCAACCGCAATTAATGTTTTCTTTTAAAAGAGTTGCCATGGTTATGGGGTATCTTCAGAGCAATGCAACACAAACTACACTGACTACCACTGTAAGGTTTCTCTAGAATGGGTTCTATAAAGTATTCTAAAAGAAAAAAATGAGCAAAGAGTAAAGGATTTCTCACATTTGCTACATTTGTAAGTTTTCTCTTGGGTATGCATTTTCTTGAGGTGTTCATGTTGTTTTCCTATGGCCTTAGAGGTTGCACCTGACTATGTTCCCACAGGGCTGCATTCAACATCCTGATGCTCACGCCAAGCCCTGATGGGATTTCTGGTCTTCCTGGAAAGGGCCATAGCCACCATACGTAGTTTTTAACTAAGTCTCTATTGTTCTATTTACCAATACAGATTCAGGAGTTAGAAGTTGGGTTGAAACCCTGCCAGTACAGAGGGCAAGAAGCAACCAGCTCACCTTCCTCTTTGGCCAGAGATCCAGAAAGACAGTGTCCCTCCACCCATCTCAAACCCAAAAGACTGAAAAACCCCAAGGTACTTGTAATTCCTCCCTGTGTGACTATCTGTCTCCCATGCAACTCCATATACTCTGGCTATTTCCTGTCGACTAGTTCTGGACTCCAACCTTGAACCAAGTTTGATATTATTAACACTCAGGTTTCAGAGTGCCATCAAATATCCTGCAACATATTCTGAGAGAAAGTTTTTTTTTTTCTCATTTGCTGCATTCTAAAGTTTCTCAAATGTATATATTCTCTTTTGAGTTGTAAGCTTCTATTTTTTGTATAAAGAATTTCTAGCACTCACCACATTCTGTAAGGTTTACCACCTATATGAGTTTTCAAGTGTCTTCTAGGATGTGAGCCAACTGAAAAGGGTGTGCCATTCTCTATATTAGGAAGGCGTCACTCCTGTATGAATTATCTGATGATTTCTAAGACTCCCTTTCCTGGAATAGGACTTGTCACAATTATGACATTTGTAAGGTTTCTCACCTGTATGCATTCTGTAATGAATTCTAAGATTCCCTATCTCAGTAAAGGACTTATCACATTCACTACATTTGTAAGGTTTCTCTCCAGGAGGTATTCTCTGATGACTTTTTAGACTGTGTTTTGTGGTAAAAGATTTGTCACATTCACATTTGTGAGGTTTCTCACCTGTATGTACTCTATGATGAAGTCTAAGATGCCCTTTCTGGGTAAAGGATTTGCCACATTCACTACATTTGTGAGGTTTTTCACCCGTATGTATTCTATGATGAAGTCTAAGATGCCCTTTCTGGGTAAAGGATTTGCCACATTCACTACATTTGTAAGGTTTTTCTCCTATATGAAGTCTGTGATGAGTTCTAAGACTGCTTTTCTGGGTGAAGGATTTGCCACATTCATTACATTTATATGGTTTCTCCCCTGTATGAGTTCTCTGATGATCTCTAAGATAGTCTTTAATAGAAAAGGATTTGCCACATTCACCACAGGTGTAAGGTTTCCTACCTGTATGCATTGTCTCATGATACTGAAGATTACATTTATAGGCAAATGATTTGTCACATTCATTACACTTGTAAGGTTTCTCTCCTGTGTGGATTCTCTGATGACTTCTAAGACTGCGTTTTGTGGTGAAAGATTTGTCACATTCACTACATTTGTAAGGTTTCTCTCCTGTGTGGATTCTGTAATGTCTTTCAAAGTTTGATGCATAATGAAAACAGTTATCACTTTCTGTACATTCACAGAGTTTTCCTCTACCATGGATGTTGTAATGTACTTTGAGTTGCACAAACTGCAGAAATGATTCACTACATTTTGTACATTCATCAGCTTTCTCTGCAGTATGAGTTCTCTCAAGTCTAATGAGGCTTGATCGAGGCTTCAAACATTTTCCACATTTCCTGGATTCCTGTGATTTCTTATCACTATCATTTTGTTCCAGTGTGATTTCTGTTTTAGAGTCAAAAGATCTATCACATTCTGTATTTTTGTGTTCTTCCAAGCCTGTGTGATTTCTTTCATTTTGGCTAATCATGGAACACGAATTTAAACAGGTTGCATAGTCTTTATAATTGCAAGTCTCTTCTCCAGCATTCCTGTTTTGGTGTCTGTTGAGATTTAAGTTTGCAACAGGGGCATCTCTGTGGTTACCAAATCTGCACTTGTTGTAATTTTCTGCAGTATCACTTGTGTCATAAGGTGTACATTGGCAGGATTCATGTATCACTTTGACAAGCTCACTACATTTATAAGTCTTCACTTGGATATTTGCATGATCTTGGATAAAATGCTTTGTCTCTTGAGGCAAGACCTTCTCACATTTACCAACTATGTGATGGTTCTCTGAAAAATTAGTACAATGTGAATAATAGCAATTAATGCATGAGTAACCGATTCAATATCTGATGTTTTCCTAGGATTTCTATCACATATAAATTGGTAACTTTTAGGGACTACAATCTTAAAAGAGGACTTTTCTGTTTCACAATAACTAAACAGATGCTCATAAGAATCTCCAATCTGATCTATATCAAACCACAGGGACCAATAATAGTGTACTAATTCTTTTGTTCCATTTAATTTTTTTCATTTATTTGATATGCAGACTACAGTTTCCCTTCTTCGTGTCTTAGTGTTCCCTCTCTCTGCCTCTCCATTGCACCACTCCTATGTTTATGTTCTAAAAAAAGGCAGGCCTCACATGGGTGTCAACAAAGCAAGGCATATTGAGTTGAGGTATATCTAAGTTCCTCCCTTTGTATTAAGGCTGTGTGAAGCTACCCACTCTGAGGAATAGTTTCCCAAAAGCAAGCCAAAGCATTAGAGAAAGGCTTTGATCCCACTGGTAGGAGTCCTACTAATAGACAGATCTAAACAACTCTCATACATATATAGAGGACTTAGGTCATTCCGGTGTATAGCCTTCACATTCTTAAGTAAACACTGTCCCTTGCAGCTGGAGAGACACACAGGAATTTGGGAAGGAACAAACTTGAGACAGAAGCTCTGTGAAGGATTATATGAAGAATGTTTCCCTATTTCTTATGTTTTTGAGACAGAATCACATAACTTGGAACTAGCAACCAGATTTGCAGGGAACTCACCTTGTTCTCTCACTTCAGTCTCCAAAGTGGAAATACTAAAATCATGCTGAGCCAGTACTGAACATAGGAATCACATCTCAAAATAAATAATATTCAAAATGACATTCTTAGAACCAACAGCCCTTTGTCTAAAACATTTTGCATTCTTTATAATCAGAAATAGGTGAAGAGTTAAACCCACTAACAAAATTAAAATACTCTAATTATGATAAACACTACAATATATTTACATGCCCTGACAATTCAATATTCTTTGAACTTTGATATGTTCTTTGTATATTAGATAGGAGGGCTAAAGAGATCACAGAGAATATTGCATCTGTTACTCTTCAAGACAACATGGAAACTATAAATAAAGCACCATTAAAAAGTTGTATTGGTAACCGAAATTTCTCTCATTTCTGGGATTTTCTAGTTTCAGAACAAGGAAAATAAAAAGAATGAATTGGAAATTCTATGAGCAGAGAATTCTTACCAACAAAAAGTAGATTGCTGTAATTCTCCAGCATCACATCCATGTACAAAGCCCTCTGAGCACAGTCTAGACATTCCCATTCTTCCTGTGAGAGGTCCACAGACACATCCCTGAATGATAACAGACCCTGCAATGGAAAATTACCTATTTACCATGCACTGCTTCACAAACAAATTTCTTGAGTAAAAGAGACATAATGAATTAGAGAGATGTTTGTGATATAGATGAGGAATGACAATTTTTAAAGGACAAGAGTTTTCTAGAAGTCCAGCATTGTTACTCTTTCAAAGACAATGTATAGGAAGACATAGTACATTGCTTACATCCATTGGGTCTCTCTCCTCCATAAATTTTCTGATGTTTTCCAAGACCTGAGGAGCAGATAAAAGATTTTCCACAATCACTAAATTTGAAAGATTTGTCTCCAGTTTGCAGTCTGTAATGTCTTAAAGTCCTTGAAAATGTAGATTGATTCCCAGCACACTCAAGCTACAAAACAGAATTTAATCTCAGATTCATGAGATCCAATGATACACCTTAAAGGCATACACAAGACATGTACTTTTTGGCAAATATATGTAAATACATAAAATAAAATCACAATTTAATTTTAATAAAAGATACTTTCTAAACTATTCAGAGACTATTGTACTTTCGATCTCTGTAAAATCAGGATGATATAATAATCTTGCATTCAGCAAACTTTTAGGAATTATAACATACACATTTGAGGTCAACATGCAGGAATGTATCCTTATGAAATATGTGCTGAATTGAAACAGAATCTCAATGTCACATCTCATAATAAGCAAAAGTATGCTTAGATGTTGTACACCAGTTGACCTTTTTTAAATATGGACACCAGATCAATGCTTTCTGAAGCTGGGATCACATGACTCTATTCCAAAATGCTCAGTCCAGATCCTGAGGCCTAGGTACAATCCTGCACTCTGGCTAAAAGAAAGAAATAGTATAGGGAATGCAGAATCCATGGATGAATTAAATTCATGTTATTCTTGAGAGTAAGGAGTGTAAAATCAGTGACACCATGTTTTTTCCCTATCCTGTCATCCTGAATGCTTATGTAACAGCTCTATATTATTTCCCGTTCCTCTTAAGATGTATGCATAGTCATTGGCTGTGCATGGGTGTTTGCCTGTAGGTAGTCTGTGCACCTTGTGCATGCAGTGCCCACAGCATCATTAGAGGACAATAAACACGTTGGAACCTAAGTTAAGTCACCATGCATCTACATGGAACTGAAGTGAAAACTGCCAGATCAGTAAGTGCTCTCAGTAACTGCTGAGCTGCCTCTGCAGCACTGGGTTTATCATTCCTAAATTAGCTGTAGTGGGGAAACTACCCCTGTGTTCTAAGAGCAGGAGGTATGCCTTGACCCCCATCAGCTGTAATCGTGGGACTGCAGGCCCTGTACCTCTCCAGGGCAGCACAATACAGCCAACCCAGTCAGAGCAGATGTAGGTGAGACAGCCCCAAAGTTGTGAGCATGGGAGCTGTCCCCATTACTCATCAGTCTTATGGTGGCATGGGCATGGGAAAGATGGCCTCCTGATGCTCATCAATGCCGAAGGCAAGTATGAGAAATGGCCCTGAGTTCACAAGAGCCAAGTATGAGAAATGGCCCTGAGTTCACAAGAGCCAAGCATGAGAAATGGCCCTGAGTTCACAAAAGTAGGAGAGAGATTGTACCCCCCCACCAGCTGCAGCTCTTAGGAGAGCAGGCTCTGCAGCAAGCCTCAGAAACACAACAGACCCAACCCTGTTGGTGGAGGTATGGGATTCGAAGAATACATATCCACAAATCCAGCCTCACTGAAAGTACTGGATAGAAAACTTCACCTCAAGAAAGTTAACTACACTCACGAAAACATAGGCAATTGACAATCCCACTTTACCAAACCCAGAAAAGGGGGGTTAAGTCACTCAATACCACCACCAAAAGCAAAGGCAAAACAAACAAGAATCAGTGGTCACTAATGTCCCTTAATATCAATGGTCTTAACTCACCTATAAAAAGACACAGGCTAACAGAATGGATACAAAGACAGAATCCATCCTTCTGCTACATACAAGAAACAGACCTCAACTTCAAAGACAGATATTATCTCAGATTAAAGGGTTGGAAAAGATTTCCAATCAAACAGACCTAAGAGACAAGCTTGTGTACCTATCTTGATGGCTAACAAATTAGACTGCAAACTAAAAAATAATCAAAAGAGATGAAGAAGGTCATTTCATATTCATCACAGGAAAAATCCATCAAAATGAATTCTCAAATCTGAACATCTATGCCCCAAATAAAATGGCATCCACATTTGTAAAAGATACATTACTAAAATTTAAATTACAAATAAAACTTCACACACTAATAGTGGGACACTTCCACACCCTACTCTCACCACTGGACAGGACTAGCACACTGACACTTAACAAAGAAACAAAGGAACTAACAGAAGTTATGAACCAATTGGGTTTAACAGACATCTATAGAACATTCCATCCAAACACAAAAGAATATACATTCTTCTCAGTACTACATGGAAGCTTCTCGAAAATCAACCACATACTTGGCAACATAGCAAACCTCAACAGATACAACAAAATTGAAATAACCCTCTGTATCTTATTGGATCACCATGATTTAAAATTAGAATTCAAGAACAACACAAATTGCAGAAACCCTACAAACTCATGGAAACTGATAATGCTCAATTGACCTTGAAAGGACAATACTCGAATTTATATAGAAAAACAAAAAAACCAAGGATAGCCAAAACAACCCTGTACAATAGCAGAACTACTGGAGGCATCACCATTCCTGACTTCAAGCTCTATTTTAGAACTATAATAATGAGAACAGTTTGGTGTTGGCACAAAAACAGACAGGTAGACCAATGGTATCAAATTGAAGACCCTGATATTAACACACACCTTCAAACACCTGATTTTTGACAAAGAAGCTAAAATTATACAAGGGAAAAAGAAAGCATCTTCAACAAATGGTGCTGGGATAAGTGGATGCTGACATGTAAAATTGCAGATAGATCCATATCTGTCCCCATGCACAAAACTGAAGTTCAAATGGATCAAAGACCTAAACATAAATCCAGTCATACTGAACCTTTTAGAAGAGAAAAGTCAGAGGTACCCTGAAAAATTGATGCAGGAGACTCCTTCCTAAACACAGCACCAGTAGCATGGAAACTGAGATCAACAATTAATAAATGGGACCTCCTGAAACTGAGAAATTTCTGTAAGGCAAAAGACACAGTCAATGAGACAAAAGAGCAGCCAGAAATACGGGACTTTTCCTAACCCACATCTGACAGACAGCTGATCTCCAAAATAAGCAAAGAACTCAAAAAGCTAGTCACCAAAACATGAAGTATTAAATTAAAAAGTGGGGTATAGAACTAAACAGATTATTCTCCATAGAGGAATCTAAAATGGCTGAAAGACATTTAAGAAATTGCTCAACATCCTTAGCTATCAGGGAAATGCATATAAAAACAACTCTGAGATACCATCTTACACCTGTCAGAATGGCTAAAATCAAAAACACCAATGACAGTTTATGTTGGAGAGGATGTGGAGAAAGGATAACACTCCTCCACTGCTGGTGGGAGTGCCAACTCGGACAGCCACTTTGGAAATCAATATAGTGGTATCTGTGGAAAATGGGACTCAGTCTACCTCAAGATACAGCAATTCCACTCAGGCATATACCCAAAAGATTCACATTCACACAACAAGGACATCTGTTCAACTATGTTCATAGCAGCATTATTTGTAATAGCCAGAACCTAGAAGCAACCTAGATGCCCCTCAACTGAAGAATGGATAGAGATATGTGGTATATTTACACAAAGGAGTACTACTCAGTGGGGAAAAAAAAGAAATCTTGAAATTCACAGGCAATTATATGGAACTAGAAGAAACCACCCTGTTAGGTAACCCTGTCACAGAAAGACAAATATGGCTCATAGAGTTAAGTACCTACATGAAGAAACAGGAGAATAATCACACTAGAGAATTAATAGCACAACTGAAAGCTCTAGAACACAAAAAAGCCAATACACGCTGGAGGAGTAGATGCCTGGAAATAATCAAATTGAGGGCTGAAATAAATAAAGTGGAAACTAGGAGGACAAAACAAAGAATCAATGAAACAAAGAGTTGGTGCTTAAGAAAATAAAATAGACAAACCTTTATCCAAACTTGCCAAATGGCAGAGAGTGAACATGAAAATTAATAGAAGCAACAGACACAGAGGAAATCCAGAGAATCATCAGGTCATACTTCGAAAACCTGTATTCCCCAAAGTTCAAAAATCTAAAAGAAATAGACAATTTTCTGGACAGATTTCACTTACCAAAATTAAATAAAAAACAGATAAGCAACTAAAGTAGACCTATAACCCCTATCAAAGTAGAACCAGACATCAGAAGTCTCCCAACCAAAAAAAGCCCAGGACCAGATGGCTTCAGTGCAGAATTCTACCAGAAATTCAAGGAACAGCTAACACCAATTCTCCTCAAAGTATTCCACACAATAAAAGCAGAAGGGTCATTACCAAACTCTTTTTATGAGGCTTCAATAACCTTGAT